TATAAACCTGCTTTCCCCTCTGGTCTCTCAGTCACTGACGAAAGCTAGTGGATACTAGCTGAAACGTCTGACGTTTTCAAAATCATATCCAGTTGCTTGAGTAACTGTTTTTTGGCATATCGTATTACCTGGATGTCTAACCTTCATCGACGAATCTAGTCTTCAAGTTCATTTCTTTACAATTTCGTCTTTTTTCGTTTGATCTCGGCATTCTACGACATTGGTATAGTTTTTATTAATTTTTTTGGAACTTATGGTATATTTGTGCTCATTTTGCAACTGTTTTGTACGATTTACATTATGGTTGAAAACTTTTTTTTTTGAAACGGCCGAAAATTCATGCGCGCGCGGATGTCATCCATATAATCAAATCAACATGGCCTTACCATATACAATAGCTTAATATACCCATATCTAACCTACGGTAATATAGTCTGGGGATGCGCCTACAAAACCACACTATAGCTCCTAGTATTACTCCAAAAAAGATTTGTTCGTTCAGCCACCGACGCCAATTTCCACGCACATTCTGCAACTTTGTATACAAAACTTAAGATTTTGAATATTATTATATAAACAGACTTCACATGATGCTATTTACGTTTAAGTTCCTTAACTGTTCTCTTCCAGACACATTTAATGGTCTTTTAAATCTTAATTCTTATTTTCATACTTACCAAAGTCGACAAAGTGCTCATTTCCATATTCCCCTAGTAAGAACGTCCGTAGCCCAAATGAGTGTAAAATACAAATGTATAATTAATTGGAATAACCCCCCCTCCACCTAAAATGTTTAACATCAATAATTAGTTTCGAACGCAATCTTAAAAAACCCCTACTTTTCTTTCCCACCTATATTTGACATCTTATCTTAAGTTAAAGTCCCACTTCGATATACTAAGTATAAGTTGAATTTTCCATTACATGTTATATAAGATTTAAATTTAAAATTCATTTATATATTCTGGAGTTATTGCTTCATTTTGTTTATGTTTGTACTTCAGTTAAAACTCTGTTAACTTATTTTTTAACATATAATTTCTAATTAACGTTATTTAAAATTACCCCTGTTATTTATTGTTACTATTTGATTTGTTATCATATTGATCGAATTTTTCAATTACTTATTGTTATTTATTATTACCATTTGATTTGTTACCATTATTACAGTTAATTTAGTCGGGGGAAGATCACGGACAAGCGATTATGGCTTCTTATCTTTCCCCTGCATATCCTACTTTACTGTAATATGTTCATTTTATTGTTTTTCTCTCTGATTATATGCGAATAAACAAACAAACAATCAAACAATTTTAAATGTATAACCGGGAGGTAAAGTACGATTGGAAGAAGTTACTCTCTCTTAATCTAGAATGTTAATGATAACACAGCTTTGTCAAGCTCTGTTTAGTAGTGTCAGACATTTGCTTGTAGTTACTTAATGTACAGTTCTATCAGAGCTCTAGTTCACATGTATACTGTTTTCTTAGACTACTAAATGGACACAAAAACACAAGGCATATTTCTAGACGCACTTACTATCAAAGCTAATTCAGCAACGAGGAAGAAATTTTTCATTCTCATGGTTTTATATTGTGACTTTGAAAAACTGGTAGAGAAAATATTTGAATCTGTTCAAAAACGATCGACTGGTATTATGTTAATCAGTATCTGTCATTATTTCTAGCTGTAGACAGTCTGGTATGTTTATTACTTTCGTCAGAAGGTTATGTGTTTAGGTACACCATACATCAGGATTGCTGATTATTAGATCCCTCGCTGGGATGCCCGAACACCGGCTCCCGACCCTTCCGCCTTGACGCGGTGCGAGGGCCCGAATGTACCAATTTCATAGTCCTGGGTTAGGTGTTACGTCCCTACTCTGTAACCTCGAATGGGGGGGTGGAGATTGGATAGTCGCTAAAGGATGGACCTCGCTGTCACCGTCCCAGTTTACTAGGCTATGGAAGACGAACCCCGGGTGTAAAGGGTGGGAACAGTACTGCGCACACCGTCTCTCGCCTTAAAAAGCCACTGCGCCCCCCCC